AATTCCAACACTTGCTGGTAAACATTTCTTCTTATTATTCGAGGGATAACACGATATTCTGAGCAACCTCTGACCTCACAAAGCACTTTCCGACTGAGAAATCCACTGCACAACTTTTCTTTTATGCAGTGTTTCGGTTGTCGTTTCTCCCTCCTGCATCGTCTAAATGCCCTGAAATACTAATCATTTGCATATCCCAACCTTTTCTTCCTTTCATGTGATTTTGATGTTCGTCAGGTCATTCCTTCCTAGTGTTGCTATTTTAATGGCCAGCAGTGTATTTTTTTAGAATGTGCTATTATAATTTTCTTCGACACATGGTGGTGATTAACTGCTTTTTCTAGAGATAGATTCAAAAGATATAAATTATGTCCTTATTTTCCTCATTTGACTGAATATCCCCTTACATTCAAGCATAACTGCAAGGAATAATCAAAATTGATAGTTCAATACATTTCTCTTTCAGAATTTAATGAAATAGAGATTTGCAACTTGCAGTTTAAATTCTGCTTCAGATTTATCAACAACATTATCCGTAGCTTGATTTTCTGCTTTAAATTATGGCTGTAGTTGCATGTTCATTCAATATAACAAAGCCACACTAGTAATGGCGAAATGAGAGGTGAAAAATTAAAAACCAGATTTTTCGAACTACCAGGGGGACTGAAGGATGTGAAAAACTGGGAGAGTTAGCAGTTATGCGATATATTTAGTAATTCTTTAAAATGATATTAATGTTACCTGTCTGACTATTAAGCATCTGGACTAAAATTAAACTTGCCAGTGTTCCTAAAGTTCTGCAGGTTGAAATAAAAATACAAAAGTTTTTATTAATATAAATGTATTTTTATTTTAACTACTACACAGACAAAAAAAAATCTGTACATATATTTTGTTTTTGTTATCTAAACTAACATAAGTACTTTCTCATAATCCACACCTTCAGTTCTCTAGTTCACTCTTCAGTTCTGACAAGTCTAGATCCACACCATCTACACTTGTCATGTTTTTGGCATATTTTCAAATATACACATGACATAGTCACTGCACACAAGCACATACTACACTTGTGTTTATATTTCTTATAAAATTATTCTTTTTATTATTATTTAGGAACAGGATTGTACCTGTGAGATGTAAAAATAGCCAAAAAAATTTTCTCCTATGAATTGCTGACTTTTTGTGGAGTTGCTTGTAATCAGAAAGTACTATAATATGAAATAAATCTAGTATATGAGTAAATTTTTATAAGAAATAATGATTTTCTTTTATTTTCCATATAAAATGAAGGCAATACTGATATATTTTTAGCACTTTTTAAACATACAAAAGTAACACCATTTTAAAATTATAATAGTTATATTTAGTAAATAAATTCTTAAAAATTGTGTTTTTGTTGTTGAAAAATCATCCAGGAATAAAAGAATAGGTAATAACTCACAAAACTGGGTGAAAGGAATTCATTTCATAAACAGACACCGATACGAGCAAAAGTGTAAGTTTTGACACTTAGTAGCAGTGACTATAACTTCAATTTTCATAAAAAATCAGTTGTAAGTAGCAGAATATGGAAGTTTCTTTGCCTATATTTCATACTGTGTTTAATTTAACTCTTTGGGGAAGGGCAACATATATATGTAGCAGATGTGAAATCACTGAAGAAAATGGGTGCTGTATATATACAGCAAATGAAGTCTTATGTTAAAATACTGGTGCTTTCCAGGTGGGGCATTTCTTGCCCACAACAAAATGCTGTAGTGCTTTTTTGTTTCTTTATTTTCAAAATGGAACATAAGTTTCTAACTGAGTAAAAACGTTTTTATTTATAGTGATGCATGTTATAGTGTATATGATTTCGTATTCATGTAATCTATGTATGATTAAATTGAAAAATAAATAAACAGTTATTAATATAATTACTAGCGGGCAAGCCCGCTTTCATTTGCCTTTATTCGAAAGTTGGACCGAACTACCAGTGTTCAGTATTTTACCATTGCTGTGCCCGCTTTATTCATGTATGCATGCACAAGATATTCTCTAGCTCACTTGATTGCTAGCAGGCAAGCCCGCCCGCTTTATTCACGTATGCATCTACGGTTTCTAAACAGTAAATTATTAGCAGTAACAGATTTATGTGCATTGTTTCTCTTGATGTTTACTACGGGCTGCGCCTGCTTCATTCACGTACGCATCCACAAGATACTGCATACACGTCGCACATGCGGAAATCACGAAAACACCAATTCTGTTCTCCGGGATTCGAAAGTTGGATCGAACTACCAGTATTCAATGATTTTATTAGGGCTGCACCCGCTTTATTCATGTATGCTTCCCCAAGATACTGCATACACATCACACGTGTGGGAAATCACGAAAACACCCATGGAGCCAGCCCGTTCGCCAGGATTAAATGTTGGATCGAACTACCAGTGTTCAACAATTTTACCCGAGCTGATGAGCCCGTTTCCCATGATTCAAAAGCTGAACCAAGCGACACCGCTCAGCCCCTAATGGGCCATTGTACGAAGTCTAATCATGAAGATGTTCGTGTGTAATATCTTTTATTTTTGATAAACTTCCACATAATCACACACAAAATTCTACCAATATATACATATACAGTCAAAAGTCGTTAATCCGGACTCGTCGGGACTTCGGCGATTCCGGATTATCGATTTTTCCGAATTATAGATCATCAGTTTAAATCTCATAAGATGACATGCAGAAATTCTAAAATTAAAAATATGAAACCGTAATTTATGAAATAAAGAACAATTATGATCTAAAGGGTATCAAAAGTTGCAAAAAGAAAAAGCTTAATACTTATTTGTTTACTTTATTAAACATTTCTTTCAATGTAAGTTGTTTAAGTTTTGCTTCGTTTCATGTGATAATACTTTCTCTTTAATTCTATTAAACAGACATAATTTCTTGTTCAGTTACAAAATTCCGCTGTTCAAGTCCTATAATTGCTGTGTCTAATTTGTCCGAAACACCGGCTAATTTGTCAATCGAAATTTTTTCGTTTTCAATAACCTCTGTTACTTTCTTCGCTATCGAAAGCGAATTATAATGACGAGGAACTTGTTTTAAATCATATCAAAGACGGAGCATATCGAGATGAAATACTACATTTGGTAAGGAATTATAAGCCAAATAAAATAAAAACATCTGCGCTGAAGATAAGGATAGTGCTGACAGATCAACTTCCAATTCATTACGCGCCCGCCGCGGTGATCCCCCCGCCGAGCAGCGTGAAATTGATAAACAGATTTCGGATTTCAAAACATACTTTCGCTTTAGATCCTTTACATATTAACAAATATATATCGGATATTCTATTTGATATAATCGAAAGTTTAAGCTTACTTTTATAAAATTGTTCTTACAGTCTGCAAAAAATAATAAGCCGGATCCAATTCGAAAATTAAGGAACGACGCAATCATCAACATTAACTGAATTAGATAATTTTAGCTTATACGTCCATTATACATAAAACGCGCACACTCATATGCGCAGTCGTAAAAGGTCTTACGCGCACGCGTAAACGCCTATGCGCATTTGTCAACGCGACGCATGCGCAGAAAGTTTTTAGTTTTGTGGTCCGGATTATAGATCATTCCGAATTATGGGTGTCCGAATTAACGAATTTTGACTGTATTAATGCAATTAATAATTCATAATTATGTATAATAAGAAAAGTTTCCATATACGATCTCTCCAAGGAACACATATTTAATTTAAAACCTTGGACGAAAAAAAAATTTTAGTCAGAATTTAAATTAGTATTTTAAATAGTAATTTCAACTGTTTAAAAATCTGGAAAGAAAATCTTTAAAAAAACAAACAAATCAAAAGTAAATTTTAAATATTGAAAAGAAAAAGTAGCTATTGTCATTGCTTGCAGATTAATTCACTTATCAATGGGATAAACCAATCTACTATCAAATATGACAACTAAATGAAGAGTGTTTCTATTTATTGTTTTATTTTATCACACACAAAATTGCAAATCTATATAAAATATGAATGCAATTTTTCAAGTAACAATAACAGAAATATATAACACGAATGAATAGATCTTTAAAAAAATATTAAATATATCACTAAAATTTCAAGTCCGTAAGTTAATTAGAAGAAAAGTTATTAATTTTTAAATGATTTTCCACTTTTAAATCCGTGAACTTTGACCTTTTTGCCAACCCAACGCTTGAGCGGATGCCAGCTGTCTCCCCCACCTATCACTTTCGAAAAAGTATTTTTATCTCAGCTAATTCGGATGTTGTTGCCACTCGGAAGAATGAGCGCACAAATTAACGTTTTCGCAGTTTTTAATTAATATCTCCGCTGAATAAAGTCTTACAAAGATGAGACCTGTATCAATGGATTCAGAGAATTGTTTGGAATATAGGGATATGCATTTCAAATTTCAACTCTGCGTCATTCCGTAGATATTCGACAAAAAAGAATTTGGCACTCAGCCAAATCCCTCAAATAGGGAAAACCCGAGAAAGAAAGTGCAAAACGTAGATGAAAGTTAGTTTTTAATTAATGTCTCTGCTAATGAAAGTCGCACGAACATGGAATGGCCAAAATGGCGAGCCACGGACGTGCCGAATCCAACGGTGTGCTTCTCTAAGCCCAGGACCCAGCCGTTCTGGAGGAAATGATGTTACACACAAACAAAGAGAGGCACATAGATTTTAATAGTATAGGTTTCATCTTTGCACTTCCCCTGAAAATTTTCTACAGAAGTCCATGTTTCGAAATAATAAATAAAATGAATCTAGAGGGAACGTAGAATTATACACCATCAAACTTTATTGATGGCTAATTTTTATAATATGTAAGCTCAGAGTTTTGTAGTTTTTTTAATCAAAGTCATATTTGTATCACAGTTCTAATAAGATTTCTGGATAAATATGATTACTATTTTTATAGTTGCTTTTAAATATTATTATTTCAAATTTTAATACAATATATATATATTTTATTACAGGTACATAGAAGATGTTATTGCTAGTTTAGATAGCAGCAGTCCTATCATTAGAGAACATATTCGTAACGTTCTAGAAAGTTTACAGCAAAGAATTGCTATATTTTTGCAAAATAATCCTAATCATAAACTGGTTAGAAATTTGAAAAGGATAACGTTGGCAGTACAATCTCTTATAAAATGTCAGTGATCAAAATTTGGAATAAATTTAGATTACATTTTTGAATTATGTAGTTTAACATCATCAGAAATTTTATTCTCCTGAATGATGAAGTTTCATCCTAACATGTCTGATAAATACATGGCCATTTCATCACTGTCATAAATTCTGTGTTTATGGTTTGTGTTGTTTTTACAAACAATGTATAGTCTAAAAATAAATATTTTTTACTTATGATGTTTTGCTTTATTGTATTTTGGGTACATAATGAAACTTGTCTTCAATTCAGCTTGTATATTTCATGTATGTTAATGACTCAGAAATTTTTTTTAAATATTCAAGTTAATTTAGCAATGTTCAGGTACATTTTTTGTGTAAAAATTTAATTTTTTTATTTGTGAAAAGTTCTAAAAGTAGAGAAGAGGACAGCAATTTTTTTTTTTTTTAAATTTCTGTTGTTTACTATTATTATTCTACATATAAGGCCATATTTATGAGGAGTTTTATAAGAGTTCATAATGTTATAGGTATTTTAATGACACAGCTGTAGCAACTTCTTCATATTTATTGCAGATTTGTGCAAAATAATTTGTTAATTGCTATCTTGTATATGGTAACTTTTAAGTAAGTTTTTTAAATTACCACACACAAAAAATAGAAACATTTTTAGGCGTATAAAGTGTGAGTTACAGAAAATGCATCTTTTCCTGGAAAGCATATCCAGAGAATCAGCTGCTAAACTATGCCTAATGCTTATGAGCGAAAGTGAAAAATTATGTCTGACAAATGATGACCGTTTTCACAAACACGAGTCATTCTTGAAAGCTAGCATCCACTCTTTCCAAAGTTTCTTCATCGATTTCAGCATGTATTGCAGTCTTCAGTTCTTCAAGAATGCATGGTTTCAAGAATCCCCACAGATAAAAATTGCGCATGGAAAGGTCGGGTGAATGTGGAGGCCACGAAAGATCTTCAAAGCGTGAAATCACTTGATTAAAGAATGCAGTTCGAATAGCAATCATGGAAGCTGTTGCTGTATGTACAGTGGCCCCTTCCTGTTGAAACCACACTGATTCCTTGTCTACAAAGCTCAGGTAGAAAATGTGTTTCAAACATATTGATATAGCGGTCTGAAGTAACCATTTTACTATCACTCCATCCTCTTCAAAAAAGAAAGGCTCGAAAATTCCCAGTCACTTTTGGACTGTGCAGTGATCGCTCATGTAATCCACAAGGATTTTCTAAAGCACAGAACCTACAGTTTTGTTTATTAACTGGCCCATTTAGGTGAAAATGGGCTTTATCGCTCATTACGATGGTTAAATCCTCATTTTCTTCAAACTTGTCAAGCATTGTTTGGCAAAAAGTGAGACGTTATTGTTAATCCTGTTTATTCAACTGTTGGACTACTATAATTTTATACAGATTTAGGTCATAAGGTCTAGGTCCCTAGGCCTTTGTGTAAAATCCTCTGCACAGTGTTTTGAGACATTTGCAACTCTGCAGAGTGCCACCTAACACAGCAACCGGGACTTCGGATCATTGCCTCTGTTACTAAATCCTTATTCTTTGGTGTTATGGTAGTTTAATTTTCATTAAAGAACATTCCTTTTCATTAAAGTCGTTCAAAATGCATTAACCCACCTAAGAATGGCATTGTGGCTGGGGACATCACCATAATGATTGCAGAATTTTTCCAGAAAAGGCATTGGGTAGTTATAGACTCACTGTTTTTCACGTACGTGTCATAATTAAATACGCAGTATGGATACTATGGCAACACAAGATGAGTTGAGGGCCACCTTCCTGTACAAGCCAAGTATGTTCATGTTTCAAAAACATCAGTTTCCCATGACTCACCTTTTGCTTCATAGTCATCCTCATCTTGAAAATACTGAAATTTGATATTTATTCATTTAATTTACTCTTTCATTTTAGCACAAATCAGTAATTATTATTTACCTAAAATGTCTTAAGTATTACTAACTCTCCAGAATTCGGTTACTTTATCTAATTTTATTTTACAGGAATCTGATTAGTTTGCTCATTTGGCAACTGTCTCATAATGCCATTTTGTAATAAGGATGGTAATTGGGTACATATTTGATTTTGAAATACAAATAAGCTATAATGACACATGAGAAATTTTGGTACAGAAAACTGTTATTAGGACCAGACTCAAAAATGAATGATTGTGTGTGTATATATACATACAACCATACATATATTTCTGAATTCGATCTTGATAACAATAAAGTATTGAAATTTTGTGTATATTAGATAATTTTACAATGAAACAATGGAAAGTAAAAACTGGATGCTTTGAAAATATGACATAAATTTATTTATAATGTTTTACATATATGAATCTTAAGTGTGATTTATAACAAGAACTGCAAAGTCTAAAAAATAAAATTTTAGTTGTACGTTTTGTGAAAAAAAGTTACATTTTTATGTGTAAAGTTCTTTCTAATACAACAATCTGCGAGACCTATTGACTTAAATTTATTAGGAATGGATTTTAAGAAAGAAATTTTGTATAGCCCCGTTCACGTGCAACGCTCCTTCGCACAACTGCCATTAGCAAGAGGAGAAAAAGAAGACACAAAGGAATTTTGTCTTTAGGATCCGTTCAGAAGACTGCCGTCTTCCTTCCCTTTACACATAAGCCTCTGTGAACAATCACGTCACAAATGTGAATCAAATTGGCCGATTTCTAATACTGTTTGCACATGTTTAACGTCGTTTACTGTTGTTACTTTCGTAATCAGTACATTCACAACTGGTACTGGAACTTTTGTAATGGTTCCCGAAAAATTTATGCTTTATAATAATTATTATTATTTTATAAGCTTATATTTTATTAATATATTGTAGCTCACTATCTTCTCGCTATGATTAAAAGATGGTCATCAATTTTTAAATTGCTTCTTGATAAGATATCAAATTCCAACTTACACTGATTGTGGATGTGGTGTCATTATATAGAGGGTTACAACCCCCCCCCCAATTCAAAGTTGAAACGATTTTTTGTTAACAAATAAACTGAGAATCTCAGAATGTTATTGTTTGTACCATAAGACACAGTGGTGAAATAAAAAAAATTAATGAAATTTTTAACGTTACTTTTTTTATTTTGGGAGGATTTTTTAAAATCGAATTTTTGGACCTTTTTGACGCCTATTAATTTTTAAATGTCATATCTAAAAATATATCGATTACAAATTTTTGAAATTTTCACAGGTTATAAAACAAACTTTTCGCACTTTTAAAGGACATTAATTGGATGATTTTTTACTTTTTTCAAAGATATGCAGTGAAGCAGAATGGGAAATATTGGTTCTTCTTCGAGATATCAGTTTCAAAGTAATAATCTCATTACATCACACTATTTTTTATCCCATTATTTATACTATACAAGTTGTTATTGTTGCGAGCTGTTAGTTCAGCATGAGATCGGAGATGTTTCTGAGTTAGTTTTCTCTTAGTGCTTTACATTGTTGTTGTGTTTAACATTCTTAGTAGTTTGTAGCATAACTACTGATTATACTTTGTGATAGTCTAAACACTTGTAATAGTATTTCTGTGAAAAATTCAAGGACTTTGAAGTGTTTCTGTTGATAAAATAAATTTAATTAAGCTATCATCAGACCTGTGTGCAATGACAAGCAGTTACGAACTATTATCAATCTATTAAAATCTATACGCACGCAACAATATTATAATTCATGTATTAAAATTGTTTTGAACGTGTTTTACAAAATAAAAACAGGTAAAGAAAAATTATCTATTACAAACCCGTAACAATACTTATTATAATTAGTTCATGTAAAAAAAAAAGGTTAATTAAAATTCTACTTGCATTTTGTGATTTTCTTGTAATCTTTCTGGCCAGATAACATTTTAAATAAAGGCTTGAAATTTATGTTGATAACCAATTGAATAGCACTAGGTTTTATTTTATGTATATATATATATCTAAGATAAAACAGAATATGATAGCTCTTTTAAAAAAATAATTGGCGAACTCAAAATTAACATTCTAAATCTGGTCATTTTCCCCTGGATTCATCTTTCCCAGGTTCCAGATTTTTCTATGTTACGTAACGTTTTAATGTAGACACCTCTTGTCCAATCAAATTGTACACCAAAACTCTTGAACTGAAACTTTTCCGACTCCCAACCTTCTTCCTCTGAAGTGCTATGACATTTTCCTCTTTTTAGCAAAAGCTCTCCTGCTGGCAAGCCGCATTTCATTCATGCTGCTGCCGCTTACTTGCTTAAGATGACATCATACTTCAAAATGGAATTTATTGTATTCAAATTTAAGTAGGAAACATCTTGTCTGCGAAAAGATGGTTTGATATACGTAAAAAACTAAAGATTATGATTCTTCAAAATCCGTTGTGCTAAACACATAATCATGCTTTTCCACTCAACCATACCTTCAGCCACTACCGTCTTCTCAGCCATCTATGCAATATCAAAAGCTGTTAAAAGTTCCAATGCCTTCATCTACGCATTTTAAAATCATTACATATATATATTGAAATTCATTAGTAAAATTTTTAAGATATTTAAAATGATTTAATGACCATTTAGATAGTTTACATTTTTTAAACTGAATTATTTAATATTGTTACTGCTTATTTAAAATTATTTGCTTTATAAAAACAAGGATGGATTTTTCAAAATACTGAAAAGAAAAATTATTTGAAATGAAAATGTAACGGAAATCATATTTGTTTTAAAGATTTTACATAAAAATGTTTTTATTTGTTTCTCAAACAAATTCATTAATTCCAAAATCAATTCTTTCAGTTATTTAGAACACTGTAATAAATACAATAAAAAAATTGTTGGAGGAGAAAGACATTTTCATTGTTACATTTTTTTCAAAAAATTTATATTCAAAAAAATTATGGCAAAAAATTTTTTTCACCTTAAAATCATTCTGGCTTACAAAACCGTTCAATAATATTCGTAAAAAGTAGATGGAAGTTCTTAAACAAAAAATCATTCAGAAGGTACCAAGCCCCTTGTTATGTTGAAGCCGATATGCATGTCTGAACAATTTAACTTTAGTTTTAATTTGAATGGTATTTCTGAAATACCCAGCATTAGATAACCTTGTCTGTACTTGTTTATAAATTTCCATATCTTGTACAGTTCCATCTAATTTGTTGGGGATGCTATAACGTACCCAGACATCTGTCAACGCAATTGTTTCGCTGA